ATACTATCCTCATACTTTCAAAAAGAATGTATCATTCATAAGTCTTCTTATGTTCACACATACAATAATATCGAGTTACAGAAAGAAAAAAAAGGCCACCTTCTTACAATCATCCGTGCACTTCTATTCCACAACAATATACTCAAATCCTATTGGGGGAAGCCCTTCTAACTACCACATATTTCATTAACTGACTACCTTCAAAATCCATGGGACTAAAACCACCAATTAATATTTTGTCATCTTTTTACCCTGAAGTCCGAACGCATAACTTCACACCCAAAATCTTTGGGTGCACTGCCTATATTCACACATTCATAGCCAAAATAGAGGAAAATTAAATCCAAGAGCACTCAAATGTATCTTTGTTGGATATTCATCCAGCCATAGAGATTATAAATGTTATCACCCCTCCACCTAGAAAACTCTTGTATCTATTAACTCCGCTTTTGACGAACAAAAATTGTATTTCACCAAACCTGGTCTTCAGGGGGAGACTGAAAGTGAGGAAGATGAGGAAAGACTAGAAAGTGAGCTCCCCCTACCCCCCCCCCCCCCCCCCCCCCCCCCCCCGACCTTTCAACTCCACCTCAAACCGATCCACCTAAACCTGAAACCAAAGCCAAGGAAACTGAGGACAAAGCTATTTTATGTGAACAATATCATCTTGACTGAGAATGATGAAAAAGAGAAATTGATTCTAAGAAAATATTTTGCCAATGAATTTAAGATCAAAGAACTTGGAAGATTAAAATATTTTCTAGGAATTTAAGTGGTCCACTCCAGCAAATGAATCTTCATTTCACAACAGAAATACGTTATTGATCTTCTTAAAGAAATAGATAAACTAACTTGTAAACTGACACTAACACCAGTAGAACCAAATCTTAAACTAGGGGAAGCAAAAGATGATCCAAATGTAGATAAGGGAGCTTACCAGAGAGTTGTAGGGAAATTATCTAACTTTCCCACACCAGACTAGATATAGTGTTTCTATAAGCATGGTCAGCCAGTTCATGTAGAATTCATAGAAGAATCACATGCAAGTAGTAGATAGAAATAGAATATTGCACTACCTCAAGGGAAATCCAGGAAAGAGGATTCTCTTCATAAGAGAATATAGAATAACCCCATAAGCTTATACTGATACAAATTACACAAAATCACCAGTACATAGAAGATCTGCTTCAGAATATTGCACATTCCTTGGAGGAAACCTAATTACATGGAGCAAGAAATAGAATGTGGTGACAAGGTCTGCAAAGGTAGAGTTTAGAGCTATGACCTTAGGTATATGTAAGCTAATATGGATCAAGATATTCTAGAAGTCTTAAGAATCAAGTGGGAAGGACCCATTAAGCTACACTATGACAAGAGTCAATAACATAATAGCTCTCAATCCAGTTCAGCATGACAAGACCAAACACATAAAAGTAGATAGATATTTCATAAAGGCGAAACTGGATAGTGGACTTATCTTTTATCATGTCTCATCAAAATATCAACTTGCAGACATTCTTACCAAGAGACTTGATAACTTTATTTTGCTGGGACTAATTACCAAGCTGGAAATGACTAATTTGTATTTCTCAACTTGAGGGAGAGTGTCAAATACTATCCCAACCGTCGCTTCCTTCTTAATCTTATGGCCAGCATGGAGATTCGTGGGAGGCTCACTTGGATCACTCCAATCTCCTTCTTCAATATTTGGGTGGCTGATTTAGGAAGGATTATATTAGTACAATTATGCATTATTCTGTAATTATTTATTTCTTTATTAAGATATCTTGTATAGAACTATAAATATGGATAATTTTGTGCAATAAAGATTAAGCCTTTTTTCCCTCTCCAATTTTCTGACTTCAACAATGACGTAAAGTTTTATGTGCATCAAAGAAATATTTTAATTTTTTTGAGGTGGAGCACGCCCTTATCAAGATTTTTACTCAAAAGAAAAGGTTATGGATAGGTTCACACAAGGGTATTAGCCAAGCTTTATGGTAGAGCTAGGTTATTAAATTTTATATTTACACTGTAAACTTGCAAGAAATATATAATACATCCAAACTATTAATATAAAATAAATTTATCATAACAGATTTACTAACCTTAAACTTGAGGCAGTAACTCTCAAGATTTTAGAAGCAAGTCCTTTATAAGAATATTCTTCTTAATTGTCTAGAAATTCTGACCAAATAACTTCTTCCCATATTCACTCTAATACTAGATATGATGGTGATGGGTAGCCTTTAGATGAGATTAATGGCTAACAAAAGCTATGAATTTTTAGATTGATGTTTAAAGAGGTGTTCTAAAGTTTATGGTGGAATAATAAGAAGCTTAAAATGGTACATTAATAAAAATTCCAAACTAGTCCAATTTGGGCTAGTTTGGAGCTAATTTTAAAGATTACTTTAGGGAGTGACTTTTATGTGGGATAAAGGGTTGAAGATGATGGGGAAATGTTAAATTAGGATGTGAACTTATGATATGAAATTGATGGTAGATTTTGATTGAGTTTAAAAGGATGTCGAAGAGTAGATAATTAGATTACATCCAAGTACTCTCTAGTTGGGTTGAGAGCTATGTGGAAGTTTTTATAATGATTTTAAGATTATGGTTGCTGGTCTATTGATCTTAGAGAATGCTTATAAAGTGAATGAAGAGTTTAGAGCAGGTGTTCAAGAGGAATAGCAAATAACATAAAAGAAATAAAGATAACTACCTAATCTCACCAAATAAAAGGCACATACTTGAAGTCAGCAACTAAATAAAGAATATTTCTAGATAGAATTATTTTATTTTTAAAAAATAAAAATTACAATGCATATCAACCCATATTTATATGCATTATAAAACTAACTTTTGGATAGAAAAATCCAAATAAAAAAAAGAGATGAAAAGAAGAGTGTTGGTGAATATTAAATAGGAGTTCAAATCAACCATTTTTTAAATTCCTTATCCATACTTAGTCATATCATGACTGACCATACCCCAATCTCACCAATTCTGCACCACTTGTATATTTTATTTTCTTATCATTTTGAGAATAATTTCATTATATATATATATATATATATATATATATATATATATAATGAAATTATTCTCAAAATGATAAGAAAATAAAATATACAAGTGGTGCAGAATTGGTGAGATTGGGCATTAAACACTTTACTATCTTTTCTCACTTTTGCAAGTATATATAAGAAAAAAGAAAATTTAAGGCATATGTTTTTTGCTAAGGATTAAAACAAATCTAGATTTATTGTTGACTACAAAATAAAAAAAATAAATGAGATTATTCTAAAGACTATATTTTGGAATAGTATAATATATGTTTTAAAAATTACAAACCATTATTGAAAATATTGAGATCAATAGATGGTGATAAGAAGTTGACTATGGATTATATTTATGATAAAATAAACAAAGTGAATGATGCATTTAGTAATACATTTAAAGGAGATGAAAAAAGTACGCACAAGTCTTTCATGTCAATGAAGAGAGATGTGGGTGTCAACTCCGACAATCATGGCATCAAGTTGAATGCTTTCTTAACCTAGAGTGTTTTTACAAGTATAAGTTTATAACACAATCAGCTGAATAATTAATGAAAGTCTTGAATATAATTATTGGCGTGTTAATAGGAGAAAAAATAAGAGATTGAATAAAAATCATGAACTCTCCTTATATAACTATATTGGTAGTTTATTTGCAACTAAATTTATCATCAACAACAGAGATAAGAAATATCCATGTATAATTAATTAAATCTTTTAAATAATTTTGAACTATTGTATTGGTTGAAGTTATTTTTCTTGAATGTGATATTATGATTTTTATATGGCAAAGTGATGAGAAGTATGATGCATAAGCCCCAATTTTACAAAAATTGGCAACTAAAATTTTAGGATAAATTTACAATGCTGTTAGGTGTGAAAGGAACAGAAGTGTCTTTAAGCAGATGAATAGTTTTATTAATTTAAAATATACTAACTGATCCATATATTTAATACCATTCACTATGAATTTTTTCGAGAAATTCACATAAAGAAGAGAAATCATTTAGATTAAAGCGTTAAAATGAATTAATATTCATCAAATACAACTAAACTTTGAAAAGAATATCAAATTTGAGATATGTTATTGATCTAATTAATTTGGATTTTATTGATGAAAGTTGTGAGTGGTTAATTAGGGAAATGGAGAATATTGGTGAGTAACATTATAGCAAAGAAAATCTAACTTGGAGATGTATTGAAGAGACATCAGGAGAAGTAAATCGAAGATGGTTAGTAAAATCTAATGGATCAAAAAAACAAAAGAGGATGTTAAACCCACAATTAGGGCTAATTTATCTCAATCTGTATACACTTTTGTTCTTTAAGAAAGAGAATATATGAGTTTTGACTCACAAGAAGAAGAAAATTTTAAAAATGAAGAAATTGTTTTGAATGAGAATGAGATTATGTATATGAAGGCGAAAATAATGACTAATGAATTTTCTTTAGGTTGCTTCATGAAACTTAAGACTATCAACATTTAAATTTAGCTTTTTACTATGTAGGCTTACTTGAGCAAAAATTAAGTAAATTTTGATATACACTTTTATGGTTCTCATCTCTTCTGCGTTTACTTTATGTCTTATTATACTAAAATAGGCGATCATAATGTTAAACTAGAGTATGAATTATTTTTTATAAGAAGCTTTATAGTTGTGATTCTCATCTATCAACATGGGGGAAAATGACATTAAAGATGTCATCAAATCTTTCAATTTTTCCCCCTTCCACTATACTAAATAGGATGTTAATGAGCTTCTGCCTCAGGAATTGTGTTGTGAAAAGTTAAACGCAATTGAAATATATGATATGAGTTGGGAAAGATGACAATAAATGGATAAGGCATAAGTTCACATATGATATGAGTTGGGACAGATGATAATATTTATATATGTCACCAACGTCTAGAGATTCCAAGTTGCAAAAGACACATACTTGTTTATGGCCATTGTGCAAGCCATTCCATCCTTCCTATTACCCTTGCAAATGCCGTAGTCTGCCGATGTTCCTATCTTTAAAATTTGACCAACTGAGTACAGGCTCAAAGAAAACCCTTGCCCCTGGACAAACCAGTGCAAAAGCAGACAACTCAATACACATAACAGCCCGTAAAGCACTTTTGCTAATGGAATAGAAGACTTACAGCATCATCCTTGCGTACATTGGAGTTGAAAAGTGCAAACACAGCCCCCACCCTCTCAGCAGAGTTCATCTTGTAGGCATCACCAAACAAGAAAACTGAGACATTTGTCTCATCCAAACACCCCATTTTCCATATACAGTAGTTCTTCCCAGCAGAGCTCACTTTTGCGTCTCCCTTCTCTGTCAACACTCCTACTGTTGCCCAGCTACCAGAAAGAGTGTCTCCGGACAATAAATTCCTGGGAACATTCAGCAAATGAGGTCTCATCAAGCGTGTTGTCTATGAAGCTTGTTGCAAGATTAAAGAACAGGTGTCGGGCAATAAATATACGGATCTCTATGAACATCTAAAATAGAGTAAGTTGGGGCAGCGCACCTAATGACTGACATCCGAACAAATCGCACATCAGAGAAGCGATTGCTCAGCTCAACAGAAGATACCAACTGGTTCCTGTTAGTAAATAAATAAATAAACAAATGTATGGCAAAACCCAACCAGACGGCTCCGAATTTAGCATCCCTCAAAAATTAGATTTTTGAGGTACATTAAAAATAATGAATTGATTCCCTAGAGTTTGAATCAAATTTAACCGAGTCATCGCCCACCTTAAGCCTGGATAGTAACAATCTAGCAAGTCAACATCCAAATCTAACTCAAGCAGGATGAGATTAAATGACAGCCAGTGTCCCAACAGCGCAAGCTCGGATCATTCACAAACTTACCCACCCAAGAATTAAAATTACTGCAACTCACCGAATTTTGATACCAGAAAACCTTTCAATCTCCACCTCCCCTCTCTTCTTCTCAGATTTCTTCCTAGAATGGAGGACCTTCGAAACAGGTGGCTCGGTATCGAGGTAATCTTTAACGGCATCCCGAAAGACTGACATGTCGCTGGCCCTGGGCCTCTTCGGTGAACCATCATCAGATAAATATCCTGCAAATACGAAAGGAGAAAGGAGCAAAGGGATGGTCCCAGTTTTGTTTATTGATTTGTTACGTCTAAAAAAAGGAGAAGGAAAAGGAAAGGTACCGGGGAAGCGCGAATAGGAGGAAGAAGGAGATCCGGGAGGGGTTTCAGGTACTTTGTCTCCTCCAAGGGAGAGGAGGAGGTCAAGGTCATCGCTGGCGGCGGGCATGATACCGGCGATGCCGTAGGGAGGCAGAGGGCGGCGCTTGGTTTGTCCGCACTTATTTAACTAAGACCGATGCGGTGTTCGGGTGCTCTGGCGGGGCATGATAAGAAGAGATTTATTAGAAACATGTACGGTGAAGATTTGAAGAGGATATGTGGCATGAATGGCCGGCCATTCGTGTAGTTTTATTAAAATGTACGGCATGGGCAAGGGAAGGAAGCGCGGGCTATGCAACTCGTGGAGGTTTTGTGGTACTTTCTTGGCGGGAATGTCCCATTTCGACCATGTTTAGTGCCTTACTGCATCGACTACAGCCTCAGATTCTTTTGGTTAGAGAATTGAGGTTTCTAACCATAAGTCAATATTAAATATTTTTTAAAATATTTCATTCTTTAAAAAGCAGTTTTATAAAAATATCACAGGCAACAACAACTTAAAATTAATTTAATCATAGAAAAAATTAAGTCATCTCAAATGAGGCCTGATTTGATAATGTTAACTGAATTTGATATAAGCCTTTTGAAATTAAACTTGATATTTTGAAAATTTTATTTTGATTGTTTAAGTCAATCATTAAAAGATATTAATATTAATGTTAAATTATATATATATTTTAATTCAGTCATAATTATGAATTTCAATAAATAAAATAATCAAATGGTGAAAAACAACCTCATATTTTAGTTATTTGTTTCATTTGCAAATTATCAAATGTGCCTGAAAAAAATTTTAATTCAATTAAGTTTGGCTTAATACTCAATGTTGTGTCCTAAAATATTTGCAGGGGAAGTGAGAGAATTTAACATCTTAATTTTATATGAAAATTTAACTCACAAAGAAAAATAAGAGATGCAAAAATTTTTACATAGAAAATTCGGAAAGGTAAAAATCGTATGGCCTAACCTAGCTAAAATAGTTCCACTATGTTAGTATTGTTTATAAAAATTTGTCTAACCCAATTTAGAGATGATAATTATGACAATAAAATAAGTAGATGATTTGTCATCCTGTGAGGGGAGTGGAAAATTTCATTAAGGTGGTTAATGATGGGAGATATTCCAACCATTGTTGCAGAATGGAAGTGATTTGACAATAGAGGTCAGGCAATGATAGACTAATAATAGTAGTTGCATAATGACGACCCGACAAGGAGGTTCAGTAATAGTGGTGCGACAATAGAGATCTAGTAGCAGTGGTATAATGGTAGTGGTCTAATGATGATGATCCAAGGGTGATAACTAGTCAACAGGTGGTTGAGTGGTGTTGATATAATAGAGGTTGTCAAGTAGTAATGATTATGCTAGTCTAATGATAGTGGTCAAGCTATGGCAATCAAGTGGCAGTGGTGGTTGCCTAAAAACTATGGTTCAGCGGCAGCATTTTAACAATGGTGGTCTCGTAGTGATCCAATGATGGTTTGATAATAGCAGTTCGACGATGGCAGTTTGACATTAGTTGGATTTTGTTGATTTGACATTGGTGGACAGGTACTAATAACCCAACAATGGTAGTTGGGATGGATGTGGTCCGATGAATGTAGTTGAGTTATGGTGATTCGACAACAATGATCAGATAGTGATGGTCCATCGACTATGGTTGGACAATAGTTGTTGGGCAGCAAAAATCAAACAACAGTTGTTAGGCGAGGATGATATGATGGTGAAGGTTGGGTCGCTATGGTCTAATGATGGTGGATGAGAGGTGGCAACCTGCTAATAGAGTCCAAGCAATGGCGATATAATGAGGAGGTCAAGAAGAGTTTTTGTAATCCTTAAACCTTTAATCTCACTTCAAAATATAGAGAGGATAGTCTATTTATAACTTTTTATAAAGATACTCTTTGTAATTATACCCAAATTTTAAAACTCACCATCAGATAGCCCATAATGATTCACTTAATCATAGACCATTCTTTCAAAAAACTAAGTTTCTTAATGATGTTAAAACTAAGTGATCATGAGCTTATTAGATTTGTCGCATTAAGATTTTTAATTTGATTGTAAGAATAAAATATTTTGTGATAATTCAATATTATATATAATAATATGAAGTTTTAACTATGCTTTTAAGTGCTTAATATGGACTCATTTGGACTCAGATCCAATCACTTTTGGTGTTGATGGGTTCTTCTTGTTTAGACATTTAATTTTACTAAATGTTTGCTTTAGTTAGGGTTTAGATGATCCTAAATTTAATTATTGACATTTCCAATTATAATACATATTAAGATTCATGCTTGATTAACTAAAAAAATTTGTAGGCACACTAATTTCCCCTTATTTTTAGACATCAGAACTTGTGTCATCAAAAAATAGATTGACTTTAAAATCTATTTTTTGTCGTAAAACAAATATGTACCATGAGAGGCTAGTTATGAGTTAATCTTTCAGGGTATGGTCATCGTGGGGGTTAAAAGAGGGCGAGGGACCCGCCTCTCGAGGTTTCAAAGGTGAAGCCCACAAAAGGCATCCAGTATATGCAATTGCTATTGCTACTTTGATTCTTGAAAATGTAATAATGTAAAATTTTAATTTCAAACAATTACAAGGTGTGATCACTTCCTAAAAATGATAAAAAGCCTCTCCTCAAGCCATGAAATAAATACATTGCCCTAAATTGTAATTTCATTATTCCTCAAAATTGATGTATAAATCAAAGCAAAAAAAAATTAAAAACAATCACTAAAAATTGCTCAAAATCGATTTTAGATGCTTCATTGGGCTCTAAATGCTTAAATTATGTTTGAAACATAAAAAAGATGACCATGAAAATGAAAGTTTGAAGATGGACTACCCAAGGCAAGTCAAGAGGGTGAGGACGGGGGGAGGGGGTGAATTGATATTTAAAATTTTTATCTTAAAAGTTTCTTTTGAAATCTCAAAACCAATTACACAAACTTTAGTGGAAAAATTTTATAAAATAAATATTTTTGCTCTTTTAGATTTTTGTAGAAAAATAAATAGGAATATATATTTTATTTTAAAATTTTCAATAATATTCAAAATAAAATAAAGCTCACCAATCTCAACAAATACTTGCAAGAATATAACATGCAAGGAAAATTAAAATAAAGGAAAATAAGATGCGAAAAAAAAGTAGAACGAGCACACCATTTTTTTTTCACTTGTTCAGTCAAACATTGACCTACGTCTAAACCCCAAAGTCCTTATTTTTTGGTATTGCACTAAACATTTTAGTGACTCTCATTTAACTCTCACAATAAGGTGGAGAAGCTCTTCCAAAAACTCTTCCACTAACTTGCTACTATAGAGTACCAAAATCTTTTCCACCCTCTTGGAGAGGTAGAGAACTTGGATTTTTTCCCCTCCTAGTGAGGTAAAGAACATAGAATCCTTTTCACTCTCCTAGTTAGGCAGAGAACCTAGAATCCTTTTCACCCTCCTAGTTAGATAGAGAACCTGATGATCTTCATCCTTGAAGACTTTCATCCCAATGCAACCTAAAAGATTAATCAAGACACATGGAGGTATCGTAGAATATGATATAAAATATCAATTAATCCTGATATGATTGCCTAATTATAGGATTATATTAGAAAATATTTAATGACATCATACATTATGATGGGAATCATGCAACCAATTAGTTCAGAATTTGAATTTTAAAATACTGCCTAATTTATGATTGGCAGTAGATTTTTGAGTTCAACCAATCATCTTGTATGATTTGAATCGTATTGTACTATTAGTATAAATTTAGATTATCTTAATTAAATATTTAATTAATCCTTAATTTACTTAGATCATATAGTACAATTTAGATCGTACTGGATGATGTTCATAAAAATTAAAACACATAATTTTTCTCCCCAGTGTATGTGTGCATGTCTGCATGATTACTAAGCTTGCATACACTATTTATAAGACCATTAACTCAAGAAATATATAAAATAAATAAATCAAAATATAAACTCTTACAAAAGCATCAAACTTGTTCTATACCCAGTCTTTAGTATATCCTTTTGCATGGTGTACGATGTACCTAAAATGTTAATGTGTATAAAATAAATATCCAATAATAATATTAGAAGAAATTAAGCAAAAAACTAATATTATCTTTTATCATGAAAATCATATGCTCGGGATCCTAGATGCAACAACCTCCCACTTTTTAATGATGGTAAATATTATTAATTAAATTTTCATGTTAATTTTATTGTCTCCTAATCTCCCCCTTACTAATTGAGTTCTTATAAAAATAGGGAGATTTTTTTTTTAAATTTTAAATATATAAAACACAATAAGCACAAGGGCAATATATATAAAAAAAAATTGAACTAGGCATAGTTAAGATATATTTTATTAATATTCTACTCCCCTTTTGCATCACCAAAAAGGTGAAAATAAATAAAATCAGCCTTATAAAGATAAAATATAGCAAAAGGCAAGCAACATAAAAAGATAACTACCACACAACACATTTCACTCAGATGTAGGAAGGACCCTGATTAGGTGGTGGTGGTGGCTAAAAATACTAGTGAAGGGTAGAAAATTGGTCACTAAACCAGGCTCGATCTACCTCATGTTGATGTTGGATCTGCTAGTGGTGTTGCTGGAGAAAGTCATGCTGTTGTTAATATAACTGCTAGATCTCTTGGTGTTGTTATTAATGTAGCTCATGCTGTATTTGGAAATGTTCATGTTGTTGATGTAACCACTCCTAGTGTTAAGTAGTCTCCTGATATTAGGTAACTAATTGCAACTCTAGGTGGTCAAGATGCTCCATTATTGAATCATAGTCCCATGAGTGGTGAGTAGGAGCCAGTGCTGGGATTGGTACTGGAAATCCCTCTACCTTATTTGGCTTAGGATCCACCATGTAATGACTATGGTGATGTCTATCACTATGGATTATGTGAGAAGAGCTATTGGAATAAAAGACTAGGAGGTGATCAGGTGGTGCAGGATATTATAGGTTATACTTTAATTCCATGATAATTGTTTTGAGGTGTCCTAGTGTTCAATTTTGCTTGTGTTTATTCTTGGGATTTCTAATACTTATCAAGTTTTCAGTGTAGTAGATAATCAGTTATGCTGCATTGAAGTTAA